ACGAACATCTAGCCTTTTTAACTCGGTCACACATCCAACATGTGCGCTTTTTGCCTCTCTGAACTTTGATCATTGAGCCGTCTGGCGTTTCTTGACTCCAGTCCTGTACAGTTCAAGAGCAGATTTGTATTTTCCTTCTTTTAAAGTCTCAGACTGAACTCAGAAGACCTCCTTAATTATCAGGGGATGAGCTGAATCTCTGGGCTGCGATCGCCAAAGCTGTCAGTGTGGCTTGATTTAGGTTCCGGCACGCGCAGTAACAGCTGGTCGGGCTGACGTTGATTGGGACGATCAGTCATATCGTATTGTACATTTTACATCAATTACTTTCCTTACACTCTTGTCGAGATGAACTTTCCCCTAAGTGTCGTCTTATAACCTTTTGTTGGAGCTGATAAATGGTGTTGAAGATGAGATTCGAAGCCAAGGAGAGAAGTTGTGTGATGTATTACAGACACGTTGTATTCATAACCTGTGGAAGGTTATTTAGACGGTAATTAAATCACTCCCGAGCCCACAGCAAACGCCGAAGCAGTGCCGAGATGCTCCGTGCCAGTGATGTATGGCACACAGCTGAGCGGAATTAGAGCGGACTCCGAGGAAAAATGGATGTGAGATTGCGTTTTATGCTTTGGCCCATCCTGGCCGGCCGCTCTCCTCTGCAAACCACCGGAGTTAATTTGTAATGCTCTGCTTTTTCGTGGCACAGAAAGCAAAGGTACAGAGAAGTCGTCTGAGCCTAGGAGGGTCTCAGAACTGCACAGTGTAGACAGAATATTAGTGCTGGGATTTTTTTTTCCTGTAAATTTCAACACAATTGCTGCGAAAATGAAACGGTTTATCTCCAAAATGGTAACTTTATAGGAAAATGAAAAACTTTTAATGTAAAAAGATTTTATTCCAAGTAAGTAATACCATTTCTGCTGGTCTATTAGTTGTGAAATGTTCACACGTGATGTAAAGGGAAATTAGTATTTTCAAATGAAGTCACAAATAAGAAACAATAGGTTTTGTTTTGGCAGCTATGATGTATTAAAACCACATTAGTGAATCAATAATGTGACAGGATGACATTATTTTGACCAAAATAGTTTACTTTCATTGGATTACATGTTCGCCTTGATTTACCAGAGCACCCACAGAAACACTCATCTGTGGTCAGGATGCTTTGAGCACACAGTAAACAGTGCTGTGATTGGTTAATGAGCTCAGTTTCCGTATTACAGCGATCTATGATATCAGTATGATACAGGCCAATGTTGCAAATATATTAAAGATTAGCAAATGTTACATCATAGTGATGCATGATAATGGGAGTCATATGAGTGTCTACAGGTGTTAGATTTAACCAGGATTTCAAACTGAGATTTGGTGACGTATTTATTGTATTCAGATTGGTTAGGCTAGTAGTCGCAAACCCTCTTCCTGGTCATCTACTTTCCTTTAGTTTAGTTCCATTATGCCCCTAAAGCCGGGGTTACGCTACACGACTTTTACCCCGATTTTAGCCCCGATTTCCAGTCTGGCCGAGTCTGCGCTAGTTGGCCCTTGTCTGCAGATTTTTGGGTCAGTCGGAGTCGACAGTTGGAGAGAGAGTTGAGTCGTGTTTGAGGGGAGCAGACTGAGATTTTTGACCAGTTGGAGTTTATCAAACGTGTTTGATTTTTTTTTTTTTGTCCAGACTCTGAGTGAAATCTAGTGGAAACTGATCAACGACTCAATTTGAACGAATTCCTGCAGCAGCCAATGAAAACAGAGAGCGCGAAAGAAGAAAATACAGCAAGTAAACAAAGAAAAATGGCAAAAAGTCTCTCACATGTGATCACACTGATCACACTGATCACATTTTTAAATCCTTGATCTTTACTTAAACATGTTTGCCAGCAGCTCCACGTTTGTTTATTTGCGTCTCCTAGTATCGGGAGAACGCGAGAGTTTGCGCGAGTTCAGTGAGCTCCATTCGGTTCCGCTGTAGCTGAAAAGTGGTGTAGTGTGTGATCCCTAATTGTTTAGTGTGGATCCCCAATATTTCAGTTGCCCCAAAAAATCTGCAAAAACAAGTCGGATGGTGTGAGACACACAGTCTCTTTATAATCTGTTCAGATGTGTAGTGAACCCAAGCTGGACCAGGTGTGTCCGGTTGTGCTTCAAACTACAGTCCACAGGAAGGTAGATCTTGATCGGGATTGGTGATCACTGGTTTTGTCAATGCTGGGCTGCTGCGCTAAAATATGTTTTATTAATTTTACTCCATAGTAGTGATGCGCCACAGTGTAAAGTTGTCTGAAATTCACGACACAGATTAAAATTTACATAAAATAAACTACAGTGAATACAGGCTCCAGCATGTGTCATAAAATTTAACATCCTTGACAACTGAGAATAGCTGATCATCTAGAATCATCCATTAATTCCAAAATGTTTGGTACGTATTGCGTTAGCGTGCTCACAGGATCTTTCCTAATCGCTTCTGTTGTCTTCTGGTTTTAGTGCATCGAGCAGGATGTTGTTTCGGTGGTGTTGAACCTGTTGTGGAGACGTTCTCGGGTGTTTTATCTCCTCTTGATGCTCAGTGTGAACAGAGATGATAAATCAGTGGTCTAACGTTCCTCATAGGAACAGTTAAATAGTTCCACACGGCTGACGTTTCCACTGTTGATCTGCTGCTGCTCCTTTTGTTTGAACGTGAGTGGAGGGAACAGACGGTGCTTTATAATCAAGGCTTCTCATTTTCTTTACCATTAAAATATACCTAAAATCTTACATTTTGACTCCTTTTATAGGTCTGTTTAATCTTTATTTGTGTAATTATTTTTTCATTTTAATAATTTTGTCTTTATTTCTTTCAAAACGGCATTTATTATAGTTAATAGAGGTTCAGATAATGTACTGAATTTCACAAATAAAAACTAGATTTCTTTGTTATGCCAGTCTGGGTTCTACATTTTCTAAATGGTTGTTTTGGCAGATACGTTTGTGTGAAATATCAGATTTTGATGTGTCTCTCTTTAGTATACATTACACAGCCCTAATGTGTTTGTGTGCTTGTCCCTCCTCCTCTGATATGGACCTTAATGGGCAGGAAGTAGAGTGCCGAGCCATTTATTTAGATGTATGCAGATGTGCTGGGCCAGAGGAGTTTAGTATACAGTAGTCTTTCATCCTGAACCCTTCTGCAGGGCGGCTCTGGCTGGCCCTCTTCAGACCGGGGCTCTTTTTAAATGTTAATTTCTGTTTTCCGCTCCTCTTAGTCTCTGCAGCATTGCGCTCTCTATCTAGCTCTCCCTCCCCCTCCCCTACCTCCCTCTCTCCTCTCTCTTTACCTCCGTATCCGGCGTGCTCATCCCCCATCTGAACAGCCTGTCCTTGTGTGAGGGCCAACAGAGACGGCCCCTCAGTCCACCGTTCCAACCCCCACACCTCTTCAGATGTTATCGTGAGGGCATCACTGTTGATTTTATTAGTTATTAGGTAATATTTTGATGGTTAACCAAGTCATCAGAGTAAAAGAGAGAAAGCCAGGCTGGTCAGACTTAAACAGCAGCAAACCATGCATTTATTAAAAAATGGACAATCGTGTGCATAAGTTTGTGCGCCCCCGTTACTGTTTATTTGCTATGTTAAACATACTGGAAAATAAATAAAACATAAAATGTGGCTTCTGCAAAGGTTATGGCACATTTTATGTTTTATGCTGTATATTTTATATTTTCGAAATGCCATTTTTAAGTGTTTTTGTTTGTAGAGAATGTGTTTTCACTTAGATGATGTGTTCATACTTTGGGATAATGAAAAAGAAGAATATATATATATTTATAATGGTATAAATATATAACAATACAGCCATCATATTGATTTGTTTAGTGCATGGTATTGTATCGCATTATATCTTGATTAGCATGTTAGCTTGTGGCTAATGTGTTAGATTGGGAACTATAAAGGACCGATTTTGTTTTGAATATTGGTTAAATTCTCTGCTGAACAGAAAATGGGAACGTTAATGTACTAACATAAGACATGTTTTCAGGCATTGAATCGAGACCCCGATGAATCAAATCGAATTCTGAATTTTTGTGAATCGTTCACCTCTGTTCATCAGGATGTACATATGAGAGAACAGTAGGACATAAAATTTGCGTTATCTTCACGCAAAGTGGTAACAGACCATTGCTGTTTCAATGAGAGAGTAAAATTTAATTACATTTTCTTCATATTTGTTTGTTTTATTTTACTCAAATTGAGTGATCGAGGTTAATTAAGTAGTTGTGAGAGCTTTGGGCAGCATAACACCACGCTAGAATTTGCATAACAATTCAAATCCCATACGAACGCTAGCAGAAATTAGCATCATAAATGGCGATGATTGGAAAACAAAATCTGCTTAAGCAATGAAGGTTTCTACATTCAGCACTGCTCTATAATGATATTTGCAGCTTTTACATGTTCATGTTTTTCATAAGGCTTTCCATATTTTCTCCTTTCCAATTTTTTTTTGAGTCTCTGATGACCTCTGCCTAAATTCTTATTTAGACTTATCTCCATGTTCCTTGTTCTGTGTTTGATAAGTCTTTTTTTTTACGTTTTTTTTAAGTTTTAATTTTTTTTTAATTAAAAACTCCATTTGCTTGAATAATTGTTGACTTGATTACTTAGTTTCGGTCATAATCAATAGTGACGGCTCTGGTTGTTTCATGGCATCATAAAAAGTTATTTGTCGCACAGATGGAGCTTTGAATGATGCTCTGTGACTGGGCTAAGTGAGAGGAAGCAGCAGGAGGCATAGTGGTTCAATGCGGTGCTTAATAATTGACTGATAATACTGGTGTATTGATTTGACAGGATTGTTTAAGTTCATTTGCAGGATGATAAAAAAATGATCAAACTGTTTCCTCTGAAAAGATGCAGGCGTGAAAGATTGAGCAACAGATCAATAAAGCGTAGCTGTTGCTGTGTGATTAAGTGACCTTGAGTGAAACCCTTTCTTTCTGCTTGTTCCCCAGGATCAGCTCTCCAGACAGCGGCCTGCACTCGTCCTCGGCCCCAGGCAGCACAGACCCTTTCGGGGAGGAGCCCAGTCACAAGCTCTGGGACGAACTGGGGCAGATCGGCCTCCCTGACGACATTAATGTCCAGTCTTTATTCGACCCCACTGGTGAGTTGGCCTCAGCTGTATAAATGTTTTAAAGACAAATTTAAAATAAAGTGTGCTTTTTAAAAGGATGCGTGCACAAAAGTTACATGACCATCAGTTTAGCTTGTTTTGTCAAGCTGCTGACTTTACTATTCAGGAAAAATTCTTTATTTAGGATTTTGTGTGGCCGATCTACTACGTGTCTTAGAAAAGTTGTGTGAGTTGGAGATTAAATGTGCTAAACGTAACGTTCAAGGCACTTGGCAGATGCTGTTATCCAGAGCAACACTCTCATCATGTTACAGAGGAAGGAGAAGGTAGTCTTGGGAGTCTTGCCCAAGGACTTGTGGGCATAGCGTGATTTGCTTGCCCATACAGAGAATCAAATCACTTTATTTTGCCAAGTATGTGACACATGAAGAATTGCGACCAGAAAAGCACACAGTGTTAACACACATTAATATGATATTAACAAAGGGGAAATGAGAATAAAATATCACTGGCTGTGTTTACATGCAGAGATCTTTGCCAATCCGATTGAATACATTCCAATTATATATCAAGACTGAGGTGTTTAAATCTCACTCTACGCAAGAATCTGATGAAAATCTCTGTTTACACACTCACTACAAGTAATCAGATCCAAAATTACACGCATACGTAGAGCACCACTTAGTGTAGACGTTACCATGACAACCAACATCACGTGAGTCCAGTCAGAGTGAGATGAGCAGCAGTGAGCAGTGCTTGTGTTTTAATTGCTTTAAAATGATGTCAGACTCAGGAAAACGTCCTTCACATGTCCTTATTAAAGAAGGCCGAGAGGAAGACGTCGTGTTCTGAGACACATAAGCTGGACGTCCGTCCCACCGCCGTCTTTTAAAGATCAGACCATAAACTTCGTCTCCTCTGCAGACCAGTTTCTGCTCCGCCATGTTGAACGGTATAAACTTTCGCTATGACGCGACGAACATGATCAGAACGGACTTAAACTTTCCGATAGGGAATGTAATCAGATACAGGCGTTTACACGGATATTATCGAATAGAAACTGTATTCCGAATGGCCTCAGTCTGACTAGTCCGACAAGTCTATTTCGATTGAAGTGTTCACATGGACTGTTCTATTCCAACTGAGCTATTAGTCGGATTATTAATAGATTATCAGGCTGCAAACGTAAATGGTCAAATAAAAAGAATAAGAGACAAAATGGATGAATTTGAAGAGTCTGAGGAAACATAAATTCAACTATTATTTACAATGTACTGCAGAATATAATGAACATTTGTATAGATTATTATATCTATTAATACATAATTAACTGATCACATTTATTTGAGATGATGGTGCTTGTTTAGTCTGACTACGATCAAATTCTGCAGTTGTTAGATTTTACAATCATCTTGCCACAACAAGAAAAATGTGAGTTGGGCGCATTGCAAATAAATGTAAATAAAAGAGAGCAGTAAATGCGTTTGTTGAGACTGATAGTGGGACTCATGAATCTGAGTCTGTAACTGTGTAACTGTAGATATTTGAGTAAAGAAGATGACTAACCAGCTAATGTGGCCACTTTAGGATTGTAATTTAATAGTTGCGAACAGTAAATGAAAAAAGACAATTAAATCATGCAGTTATTTATATTTCAGTTAATCGTCACTAGAAATTTCATTTATTTGTACAGCACCGTTGCATTATGGAGTGTGGGCTACGGTACATGAGGATTGTATGTTCCATTTAAAATGCATGGTGTCCACTACGGTTAATGAGTGTCGCAGCTCTGGACGAAAAGCTGTTAATATATCTCTGCTGTCGGAACAAAGCCTCTTATCTCCAAAATGGTAACTTTACAGAAGAAGGAAAAACATACTTTACTTTTAATGTAAGTCAATGGAACCAGACTTCTTGTCCAAGTAATTTTGGGCCATTTCTTTTGGTCCATGCATCATGAAATTTACATACAATCTAGAGAGTAACAGGTATTTCCAAAGTATATCAAAAACTGAAATGGATCTGAATCTTACAGTTTCTCGAACGGGACAGTCGTGTTATCCACGACACTGTACCACCTATTCAGTAAACTGTATCAACCAACAACTTGTTAAAACATGTGTTTTTAGAGATGTTTTTGCAGTTTTGCACACATCCATCCTTAATAGTTGGAAAATCTTGCAAACTAAGGGAATTCAATTTAGCTATAATCCTTTACTACTTATTTATCCAAATAAACGGAGTAAGCAGCTCAGCTGAGTCTGATATTACTCTGTGTTTGTGTTTTTTTCCTCCAGGGCAGTGCTGTGCGCACCTGCGGTGTGCGGCCTGGTCGGAAGGTGTGTGGCGTGGAGAAGGAGGGCAGGCCCAGCTCTACGTGGACAAAGCCATTGACTCAGGGAGCACAGAGGTAGCGTCCTTCAGCTAACATTAGAGCTCCAGTGGAACAGTTCACCTAGAAATGCTGACGTGGCTAACACACACACAGAGGAGCCCAGTTATCATGGGTATTTTGTGAACGGGGTCACACTTTAATCAGTTTTAGTAGGGCTGCGCATTATGGACAAATTACTAGTATTATATTGCTGCATGTGCCTTGCAGAATAATAAGATTACATTGGTCTTTCAGCAATGCTACATGGTCAAAGGTTGACCTGAGTTATGTTGACCGAAATAACTATGTGTATTTTATGAACCCTTAATCATCTAAACACCCACAGAGCAGGAACAGTGATTGTTCAGGATGCTTACGACACATAGTAAAATACACTGTGATTGGTTAGAGGGCTCATTTTCTTTTGCATATTTCAGGCATTTTCGATGTTGGAGAAAAACACCCACAGTATTACGCCAGTGATGGGTAAACGATGTATTGTGCAGCTCTAATATTGCTGTGTCTTTTGTGAAAGTAGTGAATGCACAGAAATAAGTTGCGCAGTTTTAGGAACCGAAACTGAAATTCAGGACACATGTGGCCGAAAACAGGAAAAAAACGATGGGCGGGGGGGGCAGTTTACATAATATGTTGAAATTATTGCAGTATGTAGGTTACAGGATGTGAAATCAAATATCCTCAAGAATAGAGAACGATTGGTCATCCATGTCATTGATTTCCACTGTGTTACAGTTTTGGCATTTGGGGCTTCTTAATTTTGGTTTTTTCATTTTTAAAACTTTTTTTTTTCTTCATCTCAAGACTGTGGCTACAGATGCTGTCTGTGTGCTAGCGGGGACTTCCTGCTTCTGTTTTATTGGATTCTGCGTGTTGAGCGGGATGTTGTGTGTTTTTAAGTGGTATCAAACTCCTAATGAAGAGTTCTTTGGTGTTGTATCCCTGTTTGATACTTGGGGTGAAAATAGATTGCAGATATCTTATGTAATGTCACTCAGAGAAGGCATATCACTGCTGTCGGAAGAAAACCTCGTATCTCCGAAGTGGTAACTTTACAGGAGAAGGAAAAAACCTACTTTACTTTTAATGTAAGTCTATGGAACCAGACTTTTTGCCAAGTCATTTTGGGCTGTTTCTTTTGGTCTAATCATTATGAAATTTACACATAATGTAAAGCACAACAAGCATTTTCAAATTATGTCAAAAACCAAAAAACGACAAAAATGGAGATACAAGGGTTTTTATCCGACAACAGCGAGATATTAGCTCCAAACGGCCGACATGGTCGCTGTTGACCTGCTGCTGCTCCAGCTGTTTAAATGTGTGCACTAAACGACACAGGAAAACGAAGGGAACCAACAGTGTTCTTATTCATATGTTCTTTTCTTTACAATTATAATTAATTTGTTGATGGCTTATTAAGTTGGCTTGAAAAGCTGATTTACAGTGATTCATTGCATTATTCTGTGATTTTTATTTGTTCTGTTTTCACAAGTCGCAGTTTTCAAGCTAGAACCGCGGAGCTTGGCAGGATCGTAGAGCCTAAATGGGAATAGTGCGCTTGTGCCGTTCACATGTACAGCTTTCATACAGCGTTAAATTGAACACATTTTCTGAATGGCAGAATGTTGAAAATTCAGAGGTTATCACAAAAGGCATCTCACACTGCCTCTCATACACGTTGCATACAGACTCGCATACAAATGCTTTATATGTATATATACACTAACACAGACACTAGCAACCACCTGGGATACCATAACAATGACCTAACAGCGCTTTGACAATCACATTGGATTTCATAGCAATGCTTTAGTGAAACCAGCTTAGTTTGTTCATGTACTTTCTCCTTCTAGTTAATCTTTTTACTTTTTTTTTTTTGGTTTTTGGTCAAATTTCTCTTGTTTTTCTTTTCTTTCGGAAGTATAATTTCTTTTTTTGACCATTTCTTGACCCAGAATTTTAAGTGCATCCCCAGAGTATTTATTTAACCTGCTGGTTTGTTTGCTGGATTTGTGCCTTCTGTGAGCCTGAGTGGTGAATCGGGTTTATTCCTTACACACTGAGCCCGGATGTTTTTTGAAAACAGAAACTTGTTGATTTGCCTCTTATAAGCATTAGCGACGTGTTTGAAGTACGGCTTCATCGCGAGGATTAACGATGTCAGTGTTCCACTGATGCCACGCCGCAGTAATGATTTCGGGCTACACGCTTTCAGTTGTAGCTTTCTCTGATGTACGTTGATGCTAATAGGTTACAAGACGAAGACGAACGTGCCCGGCCTTGATTAAGCTTTCTGAGTGAATCATGAATGAGTTTATTATTGGCAGCGAGAGGGAGACGCGAGAGGGCGGAGGGGTTGCGCAGGTCCCCTGGTCTTTAAAATATTTTCTAATTAGGATTTGAGTAGTTCAGCAATGCCTCCGCGATCTCTCTGGTGAAGCCTCGGCTAATTAACACAATGTGATGTGGCAGACGCAGGCACAGGGGTAGCCGAGCGTGGGGAGTGTCAGGGGGGTGGTTTTGGGGGAGGCACATTAGGAGTAATTAATTGTTTTTATTTCAGCTCATTTTCCTCACCTCTGGGACCTGATTCTTGGGAAAACAGATAGCATCTTAGAGAGTCTGTCTGTGAGACACAGACTGTACAGTGCTGTAGCAGCTTGGGCTGCGGCAGTTAGCTGAGAAGATTGATGACGTCAATTATAGAAAAAGACCTGTGTAGTTATTATTGTTGACTTGTCGTTTGCTTAAATGTTCCCACAGTGGGTCAGTCCAACAGGTTGTAGTACTGTGGGTTTTGAAGGTGATATAACCTCAATAAGACAAGTCAGCGTCATGTCACAACAGCAGTTATCTTACTTCTAGGTGGATAACGCTGGTAGCGCCGCGCTGGTTCAGCAGGATTTTGTACTAATCCTGAGGGATATTTAACTGACATACTGGAGAAATAAAAGCTTTTAATGATCTTGTGTTGTGTTAAGGCCAGAATACACAGACGAGACAAACACACACAGTCTGACGTTTGCAGTTGTTCTTAAAGTGTTCAGAAAAGAGTGAATGGGAAAAGAATATTCTAGAGACTTACAACAGTCAAACATATATGTGGCACACCAATCAAATGTTTGTTTGTTTGTTTGTTTGTTTGTTTGTTTGTCCCATCAGGGTACTCTGGCCTTTAGGAAATGAAAGGCAAATTGTAGAGAAAACTCAAATCCACAGATGTTGTCACAGAAGACATTTCTCACCCTGCCACTCATAGACATTACCTACAGACTTGTATACATACTAGCACACATTTACACGCATATTAGCAACCACCTGGGATTCCATAGCAATGGCTAAGCAGCAGCTTGGCAGCTACTTGGGATACCACAGCAGTGGCCAAGCAACACCTTAGCAACTACCTGAGATACCATAGCAATGGCCTAGCAAGACCTTAGCAACTATCTGGTTCTTATAGTAATGGCCTACCAACACCTTAGCGCCCACCTAGGATTCCATGGCAACAACCTAGCAACACCTTAGCAACCACTGGGGAGAACGTAGCAACGGATTAGCAGCATCTTAGCAATCACTTGGGATACTATAGCAATGGCCTAGCAACACCTTAACAACTACCTGCGATAACACAGCAATGGCCTACCAACACCTTAGCTACTACCCGGGATACCATAGCAACGGCCTAGCAGCAATTAGCAACTACCTGAGGTAACATAGCAACACCTTAGCAACCACCTGAGATAACATAGCAACAGCCAAGCAACACCTTAGCAAGCACCTGAGATAACATAGCAATGGCCAAGCAACACCTTAGCTACTACCCGGGATACCATAACAACGGCCTAGCAGCAATTAGCAACCACCTGAGAACATAGCAATGCCCTAGCAACACCTTAGCAACCACCTGAGATAACATAGCAACAGCCAAGCAACACCTTAGCAAGCACCTGAGATAACATAGCAATGGCCAAGCAACACCTTAGCTACTACCCGGGATACCATAACAACGGCCTAGCAGCAATTAGCAACCACCTGAGAACATAGCAATGCCCTAGCAACACCTTAGCAACCACCTGAGATAACATAGCAACAGCCAAGCAACACCTTAGCAACCACCTGAGATAACATAGCAATGGCCAAGCAACACCTTAGCTACTACCTGGGATACCATAGCAACAGCCAAGCAACACCTTAGATAGTTGTACCTGAGATAATATAGCAGTGGCCTAGCAACACCTTAACAACCACCTGAGATAACATAGCAATGGCCAAGCAATACTTTAGCAACCACCAAGATAACATGGCAACAGCCAAGCAACACCTTAGCAACTACCTGAGATAACATGGCAATGGGCAAGCACCACCTTAGCAACTACCTGGGATACCATAGCAACAGCCAAGCAACACCTTAGCAACCACTAGGGAGAACATGACAATGCCCTAGCAACACCTTAGCAACCACCAGGGGTGACATAGCAATGATTTGCAACACCATAGCAACTGCTTGAGATACCAAAGCAACAGCCTAACATTTTAGCAACAACCTGGGTTGCCATAGCAACAGCCTAGCAACAACTTAGCAACCACTTGGATTTCGAGGCTGTGGCTTTGTCAAACCAGCGTAGAGTTCACAAACTTCACCTTTCCAGTTTGTCCATAAATGGAGTGCACCGGACTAAAATAACCATAAGAGCTCAGTTTCACATGGCTTAAAGCGAAATTCCACCAAATTTTCAAAATAAAATAATTTATTAAGATGACGGGGCCATTCAGAGAATTTTCGAGAAACTTTTCGCCTAAAATATATTTTTTAACAAACGCTAATGGTGAATTGCTACATGCAGGTCATTGTAAGGCTGCTTCCTATCACCACCACTGCAAGGTGTCAGCAGGCCTTCTCTACAATGACCCATTTCAGAGCAACCCACTCCAAATGACTTTGTTTACATCTCAGCCTTTGAATTATGCAGCATATTTGAAAAATCTGTTTAATTCCTCTGTAAGTTTGAACTGGC